CATAGTTTGTTTGTTTTTGACGACAAAGGAAACCCACAGCTGCTACCCTTTTGGGTGCGCGCAGGGTAAAACTCCGCTCCTATGCAATAGCTCGCAAACCACATAGGAGAGGTAACCCGCACCAGGCAATCCTGGTGCGACGAGCTCGACCCAAAAGGCAAAACCCCTTGCTTTCGCTGGCAAGGGGTTTCGAACTTGAGACCTCCAACAAGGAAGTTCCAAACTCAAACCACTGGGCCACCCCGAAGGGTAAAGTCACTCCATAGTTTCCTGATGCTCTTCCATGGCTCAACTCCATATGGACTCCTGGAGAGCAACGTACACCAATGATTCTGGGGCCATGCGTAACCCTGACAACCTCTTTCCATAGTGGATTCTCCTCTTAGTTGACCCTCCTTAACCATTTCATCAACAGACATTTGTTGTGGGTGCAGAGATCCCTAAAATCTTAGGCCTCCAAATCTTTTTGGCAAGATGAACTTTGACCATTTAGCAAGGTGAAATCTATGGCCCTTGCTGTGCGCTTCCCATAGGAATATTATTCTGATTTTGTCCAGTTGCTTCACTACTTCGCTGGGGATTGGAATAAGGGACCGCAACTATGGAAGGATGCTGTCCAACACACTACTGATCAGTGTCAACCTTCCTCCCAAAGAGAGGTGTTGTCTCTGCAAAGAAGCAAATTTCTTTTCAAATTTTTCAACAACTCCATTCCACACCTCTATTGATTTAATTTTTCCCCAAGTGGAAGCTCAAGATAAGTGGTGGGCAATGTATCAGTGCCACAACATAGGATTCAAGCTAGCTCATCCAAATTTGTGACTTCATTGATAGGGAAGATAAATTCAATGTTAGCATCGTCTAAGCTATTTCTTGGAGAATAAGGTATTGTATTAAAATTGCACTAAGATTGTCTATGCTATTATTTAAGGAAGAGGAGCAACTTTCTTGCCGCCCTTGACAAAGTCTGTCACATTTTATGCCTAACTCTCATAAATTCTACTAACAAAATGAGAGAAAAGGTTTTCCTCCACTTTCTACTCATTATTTCATGTCTTGTATCTTTCTATCGTGTACTAATATTCCCACAAGCCACAGTTACTCATTTATACATTCTGTTTATTTGACATATCAATTTATTTGATTTATAAATTGTGGTAAGGATTTTATATGTTATTTGATAGGATTAAGAAGTATAACAAAATCATACCCAAGACTTCTGAAGAGGTTTCTAGTAACTGTTAGTCTCCCTTTAGAAACTAGCAGAGCGAGTTGAGCATCCTTTCTATAGTTTGATGGAGACAAATCTTCATCCATTGCATTTGCACTTTGCAATCCTCACATCTCATATACATGTCCACAGTGAACAAAAAGCAAGGGAAGAAGTTTTTTTTTTGGGGGGCCGGGGGGTTCCCACCCGGTGTCCGGTACCCTCTTGGAGCTCAACTAAATCTGGATTCACACCAAAAAGCCCCACATTGGGAGGTAAGGATCCCTAACAAAGGCGACTCTGTGGCCAGGGGGACTCAAACCCGAGACCTCCAGTTAAGGATGAAGTAGTACTTACTACCACAAACTTGTTGTTTCATGAATCAAAGAAATAATAGAAATCTATCACTTGTTGATGGTGAGGAGAGAGTACCAACAAACCTGTGACTCATGACCAGTAGGACATCTGGTAGCTTTAAAGAAAATAAGGTACTTTCAGAAAACATTTCTCATCTTATACATTTGTCCAAAATAAAATAAATGAAACAATTCTCATCTCATGGATATCCGAAGACTTGCTTTATTTCAAGGTAGGAAAAATCTGAGGGTGAAGGTTACTGCTTGAGATTTAAATTATAAATGATCAAAAAGTAGAAAAAGGGTAACTTACATTGTCAAGTTCCTGTTAGCAAAAGGCACCTGTTCATTCAAGAGCAAAGTTATGCTTGCTAGAAACAAACCAGTTGGTTGTTTGCCTCCAATTTGTATTTTCCTTTCTGTAAATTGGACCTTCAGAATGTGTAGGTAGAAGGAAGAGGTCTGCCACGCAAAGAAAGTTAGACACAGAATAAAAAGGTACTCATTGCTTCACACGTATCAAAGCAACTCTAACTTCTCAACACCAGAAACTGGTGCAACAAACAGTAACAGTCTTTAAATGTCAGCAAATAATTTTAGGATTTAAGTTAATATTTTAAACTATCGGTATATTTAGCATGATATTTACCCTCGGCTTTTCAACCCACAACAGCCATAGACAACTGAATTGATAGTGTATAAATCTGAACCCAATTTTCCAAGAAAGCTCAGCAAGCACTTCACTTCTCAAGTGTCCATAGAAGTAAAGCTACTCTTATAAAATAATTCAAATTGTAGAACATCTTATATTATTGTTTATGGGTGTGAAATCATCAAGTTTCACATTTTCCATAAATCCTGGACAATACACTATGTAAAAGTACTTGGGATCACTTAGACCATGGCGCTGTTGAGATGCAAATGGACATTGTTGAGCTCAATTTTTAACTTAAATGCCAAAATTGTCACATTTACCCACTAAAAGATCACGGGGAACAGGCTACTTTACCAACTTAAATTATACATAACACTGATAAAAGGACTCCACCAATCAACTATTCTAACCAGTTGAGGCTGGTTTATGAAAACTCTCTTTACATTCTGCTCTATTCAGGCACACTACATTACAAAGACATCATAATCCAAATCAATGTTTAACTTACAATAACTACAATCAATTTGGTATCAGGACTCCAAACAGCTCGCAAATTCTCGCCTTCCTTCTGAATCGAATCCGAGCTTCTCTTGTACTTGCCCAATCTCACTCTATGCTGCAGCCAATGAAAAACCCAATCGAAATGTAAGAAATTGATCAACACCCAGTTCAAAGCAACATAAAAATGTGAGGAATTCTCATCAACCAATCCGAAATTCTCCAAAAATAAAAAAATGATCAAACTCTGACCTGTGAGGAGGACCATAGTTCAAGATGAGTAGGAGAAACAACAAGCAATAAGCGATTAATGACTTTGAGGTACACAATTTGCTGTGAAGAAGGGCATAACCCTGATTCCATAGGGATGACCTGTGGCCATCCATATGCCATATACATCTTGGAAATTTAAGCCAAAAACTCCTGAACAGTGGATACTCTAGTTTCCGAAGCTTCTCAATCCGAAAAAAAAAATCAGGAGAAAATGCAGATCAAAGAGTGCGAGATAGCATTATTAGGATTTTAATGGAGATCCAAATCTGAGTGAATTTGATGAAGAAAATGGTGAAAGAGAGTGTCAATGTGATGGGACCTCCCTTTCAGTTGGGGTTTGGATCTCAGAGAGTTTTGAAGAACAACTGTGATGCTGCTACACATTCATTTCCTTTGATTTGTATTTTGACCCCTCACTCTTTTTAAATCACCTATTTGAACCTTTCATTTTATATAAGCTCGTTATTAGCCAACGTAATAAAAGTAGCTTTAAAAAAATACTTTTAAAAGTGCTGAAACTTATTTTTAAAATAAGCAGTTATGTGTTTGGATAAAAGTGCTGAAGTTGTTATGTCAAACGTGAAAAGGGAAAAATGGAAGAAAGAAATGTTAGGATTATATGGGTAATTTGGAGATTGTATAAAAATATTAAGGAAAAAAAAAAACACCCCTGCCCCAGCTTTTAACTTTTGGTTTAAAATAAGTTTTTTTTAACTTAAAATAAGTTATTTTGAGTATTGCCAAACAGCTAAATAAGTCAAAAACCAGCTTTTAAGTCAGTTTGACCAGCTTTTAAGCTGAGCCAAACAGGCTCGTAGTCCCATAAACTAGAACCTAAAGATTTCATGCATGTCGATTTTATTCGTACTTTAGAGAACGAAAATATATTTTCGATAAATTTACGATTCAAATGAGTCTAAAAAAAAGTAATGAAAAATAGCAAAAAAAAACATGAGAATAACTATAACAAAATAACATGATAGTTTGCTAGAGGAAACAATACATAATAACATAATTAAAAGGACAAGAAGCTAAGTTATAATATTAAAAATTTTAGTATGAACGAATAATGCGACAACATGTTGTAACTTATAAGCTAATTTATGTCCTCCGATTCACAATTTGTCACGTGTCATGTTTTCGATAAATTGAAATTATGTCATGTCTTGTTCAATTACTTTGCCTAATAATTCTTCGGCACGCCTCTATCTCACGAAAGGAATTCATAGACAGACTCTGACACTTGCATTCTAAAGTATCCAGACATCTCGTCTTCATATGTTTAAACCATTTTAATTTTGTTTCCCGCATAGAAGTCGCTCTCCTTTTATTGAGGATATTCTCATTTCTAATCATATCTTTCATAGTTAAATAGTTGATCATTAAGGTGAATTTGTACTATGATGAATTTATTGTGTACTAACTTGGATAGTACATAACGGATACACAAAGATCAAATAAAATATTACTACTATTGAATTGGATCCCTTAATCTCATCCATATTCCAATTAACCCTTGGCAGAAAGATCTCATATAGTATATCTATCAGGCAACGTGCAAATTATGAGGGTAAAAAATAAGTTATCGATCTCATTCAATTCAAAATTATAATAATGACACGTAAAAAAGTTGGTGGATTTCGAATTTAATAAGAATACTTATGTTAATATTATGTGTAAAAATAACGTACATAGGTCTCTTCCTATTTGTGGACTGCTAAAAGTCAACATAGACAGGGCATTTAAGATAAGAAAGACAAAGTGTTTTGCAATTAATTAGTCTTGAAGACTTGAAAACTAAATGTGTTAATTGATCATAAACTCACAAAGAAATGGCTACTACAGAATACTTTGTTCATATGTTAATGGTTGCTATGAGATTTTTTCTTCACGAGAATGATATGCACATATCCAGTGATATATACAACAAAATACTTCCTATTTACATCAAACCGACCTTCCTTTTTATCTCAGGTGATGCAAGGAATTGTTTCTAATGTTCGTGTGGTGCATGAAAAATCTTAATATTGAATGATCACTCCGCATAGAATAAGTCATCCTCTTACACAAGTCAATTATTATCTGAATTACCATAATCTACAAGCTAAGAAATGAAGAATAATCTAAAAGTATTGTACTAAATTCAAGTAGAGATCAATGGATTTTCCTGCCAAAAAAAAGAAAGTTTCAACTCATTGAACATGATTAGATTTGGGTTCTCCAGCACCAGGAGGGGGATAATTGGCTGGTGGGTAACCCTGAGGTGGCTGCTGTGGTGATGGGTAACCCTGAGGCTGCTGCTGTGGTGGTGGGTAACCCTGAGGCTGCTGCTGTGGTGGTGGGTAACCCTGAGGCGTCTGCTGTGGTGGTGGATAACCTTGAGGCTGCTGTTGTGGTGGATAACCCTGAGGCTGCTGCTGAGGTGGTGGATAATCCTGAGGTTGTTGCTGAGGTGGTTGGTACTCCTGAGGGTTTTGCTGAGATGGAGGATAACCCTGAGGATGTTGTGGTGGTGGTGGATTACCATGGGGTTGTGGGGGATATCCTTGAGGTTGCTGTATTGGTGGATATCCAACTACAGGGGGAACGGGCTGATCTAACCGAGACATTTGTTGCACAGGTGGCACTGACATTGGGCGTGGTCCAAATTTTCCATCTCTTTTATCCATTTCAACCTTGTGCTGTGTCTGAATAGAATTATGATGATCAAGACTGGAGTGAGTGACAACTAATAATGGACATTGGACAATGGAATCTGAAGGTACCATTTCAATTTAGAGTACTTCACAGACACCAATAACTGAAGTTACAACACAAGTTATACAAGCATAATTAGTTCCTTCACTATCCATGATCAGACTTCTTTCTGAAAAAAGATTTTGATAAGTCGTATGATACACTCAACTTGCATGAGTTTTGCTAAGTATAGTTGGTCCTACATTTGATGGAGAATAAAGTTGTAGTATAATTATGATGAATCCTTTGAAATAGGGTCTAAATGAGCTGAAGGGACATAGATTAATTATGAATCCCTTGAGTGGAGTCTGAAAAATAACTTTTTTTGGCTGGAATGTTGATTCACTATTTCAATGGAACTATTACTTTTAGAAGGTAAGATAATTTGACTATTTAATGGAACAGTGTTCATGCTAAAGGATTTCCTAGATGAAGAATGTGTTCACATACCTGCATACAGCTACAAACCCTGCCAATATAAGAGAAAAAGGTAAATGAAGATGAAAATACAGCCCGATATAAGAAATGTTTTTGATACTTAGAATCAAGTGTCTTACGTGAAGTAAACAAAGTCAGACAAACAGTTGAGAAGCTGAGAAGCATCTTGAAGTTCTTCACTTCCAGCAAGACAAGCAATAATGCTACATATGCATGCTAACTGCTGTAGGCAAAACATGAATCCCTACAACCCCACAAGTAGTATTAGTTGGTTGCTTCATAAAAATGATAACTAACATGCTATAAACGTGCAGCAACACTAATATATCATGTAAAAAAATTCTTTACACTACTAGATTAAAAGATGATTATGTTACAAGCAGAGAAAAGTGAGAGAAGAGATGGAGAATAGTTGAAATTACTATGATGCAGTTATCACATTTTGTTGTCTGCAGATTGAATTCATCTTGCAACATAAAGCGTGTTGAAGCAACAGAATTTCCAAAGCAAAGAAAAACCTGACAACAAAAAGGCATGTTTGATAAACAAATTAGGAAAAAAAAATTCAGATTCAGATATTTTCAGAAAAAATATGTAGATATATATCCGACAATGAAGAGTTGTATCATACAATCATGAAATAGAAAAAAAATAAGAATGTAAGATAAACAGAAAGAAACCAGACCTCTGTGCCAAGACAAAATTCAGGGCAACGACTTTCTCCACATCTGCCGCTACAAGGCATGTAGCCTCCACAACATTTATATCTATAAAAGAAAGTCTTTCAATAACAGATATTTCAAGATGCAGCAATTCATTTACACAAACATAAAAACGAAATAATTACCTAGACATATCATTGTACAGAGCTCGTTTTCGGAGAAGATATGATGCACATGGAGCGCTTTAACATTCAAAGGTAAAGAAATAATCAATTTTGAATAATATCACAATCAATAAGACGAACATTCATAGTACCGCTTTGTGGGGGGAAATATGTTGAAAAGTAAACCTTGTGCATGTATTAGTACAATACATGTATTTATTCATGAATTAGGAAAGATGGAAGGAATTTGAACGACTGAAAGTGTCTTCTCCTCCCTCGATTTTCCAACAAAACAGACAAGAAGAAAGGAAATTTTTGTGGACAGTCCAAGTTTCTGAGCAGTATATCTCCCTGTGATTAGTGATAACAGGGGATATGGAAGAGTAATTTCACCAGATCTGCTGCTAAGCGACCAACTAAATCATTGAACGATAAGCAACTTATAATTTTGCAGGAAGGTGTTAAGTAATTTGAAAAGGATGCTTGGACCTAAGTGACCTTCCTGTTTTCTAGACAGATTTTTATCCACTTTCAAGCTGACAATAGGCATTTCGATAAGACTACCACCAACCATTACTAGGAATAGCTTGCAGCTGCAGCTTAAATCCAAAAGTTACTTAGCTTATAGAACAATAGAGCAAAAACACTAGACTTATATACTGATTGAAGACACCTTTTGCTTGAGATATAAAGATGCTCGAAATTTCTAACGACACTTTATATTAGTTCCAACCATTGCTAGTGGGACATAGACGTCCAACGTTGAGTCAAAAATTTCAATCGGCCTCAAAGCAGAAGTGACATTAAAATCCACAGCAAATTAGGATACTGAACATGCTTCAATTTTCATATTACATTACCACATTCGCTCATAAAACCCTAATTTGATGGCATTTTTCTTATTTTACAAAGCAATCCTAATAACAAATAAATTACGTATTCAGCAATAAATTCAAACATCATCAATCATAATCATAGTACATAATAGAAACACTCACCACCAAAGCGAGAAGCAACAATCTGCAAAACAAAAGAAAACACAGATCATTCTATAAGTCAAAATCAAACGCTACATTACATAGAAAAAACTCAAAAAAAAAATAATAATCGAGAGTTTACAAAGAGGATCAGTCTCAGTGGCTCTGATAAGATCAGTGTGCCAGTGATTCCGATAATTCTGACGTAACTTCATCTTCTCCATTTGATTTGCAGATGCCATTTTTGTTCCGTACACCAAAAACACGCATCAACTATGAGAGATTTTCTCAAGTATTCACGTTTTCTGTATGACAAAATTGGAGAGGAAAAGTTAAGAGGAATATTCTGATTTTCAGTATGTGTTATTCAGAAGAGAGAGAAAATTAGAACTGAGTATACGTGGCGAATTGTGATTGGTTGATATTACCGCTATTTTTTCTGTTGTACGATATTTGTGCCTAACAACTAGTTTAACTATTCTTTTGTTATAATTTTATTAATATCTAATATTAACATTTTTTACATATAATTTTAATTCTAATTTTTCGTCTACGTATTTAGAATCTCCAAATTAAAGAAAATTTTCATACCTTTAATAAATAATTCTAATATTGAATCACAAAATCTTTTTTAAAAAAATAATGTTCTTAAATTTTATATCAAATTAAATTAGATCCTTTTAAAGAAAATGATCGAAATATTAATAAATTAGAATAGAAACTATGAAAGTTCATTATAGTGTACTCACTTATTTGAACGACCACAAGTTAGAAAAAAGGTTGATTTTAAAATATTTTATTAATAATAATTATATTTTAATTTATATGGTAGTTTTTTCTTTTTGATTTGTAACAAATAATGTTTTTTATATATTCAGTAATAATATAACTTTAAAAATATTTTCTATGACATATTTTATACTATGAATTCATAAATCGAAACAAATAAAAATAACTTTGTTCCTTTAATTTTTGGAACCAAAGCGACGACTCCAATTGTTGATAAAATTTCATGTCACGCTCTTTCTTAATCTCATCTTTCTGTTATATTATTGTTCGCAATGCATTTTCGTAGCATTGAAAATTAATTGCAATTAAAATAATTTTTTTAAAGATGTAATTATTATTTAAAATGAATTTTGTGCGTACAATCTTGTGGTTATCTTGATTCTTCTCTCCTAAATTATTCTGTGATATGAGGTTTTTAATAGTGTATGTCTTGAACGTATGATAAATGTATAGACCTCCTTGAAATGTATTTGATCTCCAAAACTATCGAGAACACTGTTGTTTCAAGTCGATCTCCAAAAAGAACTCTGTTGACTACTTCTTTGAAGAACTATGTAGTGTATGTTGCAACTTTCTTCTATCATCACAAAATGTTTGTTGAATAATTTTCTTATAATTCCTTATAAGTCATGTCTATCCCCTCTTTATGGTTGTAGGGGTGGACAAGGTTGCTTATGGTTGGCCAAAGAATGTCATTTTGATACTTAACGGATTGTGATTGGTTCTTAAATTTGGATGGGACTTCAACTTCATTTGGACGTATGACATGATTGGTCTTGGATGCCTAGTCATTGTGACATGAGACATGGGTTTGAGCTTCAAGATGAAAGTGGACCTTGGACTTGAATTTGATAAAGGATAAATTATCTATATACACATCTTTTTTCCCTATAATTTTCATTATTCTCTACCAATTTTAAAATTTTCCAAAATCCCTTATTTTACTCAGAACCTCCAAACTCTAGATACATAAATCCGGATCCGGATCCTCTCCATTTTCCCCAAGTTCTTATTTGGATTAATGACACATGTCATAGGTTAAAATAAATGGTTAAGATTTAATTTTTCAAAGTAAATCTCTAACCATGATTTAGTTAATAAATATATTATATATCAAGTATCAAAATTATTATAATCTCACAATCTTAGCAACATATTATTTTGTCCATATTATTTATGTAAAAAAGTTTTCTTTCTATTTTGTCCATATCTCGCTTGCCATATATACACATGCATATTTATAATATACAATCATATACATATACAATTCACCTCTCTCCCTCTCTCTGCCCTCTCTCCTCTCTCTCCCAATCTCGTTCGCCTCTCTCTTCCCTCTCCAAGTCTCGCTGCCTCTCTCCTCCCTCTCCGAATCTCGCTTGCCAAATACACAAATACATGTGTATAATATACAATTATCTAAACGATAAATATGCAAGTCACCTTTCTCCCACTCTTTTCTCCCTTTCTCTCAACTCTCTCGTCTCTCTCTCAGTCTCGCCTCTCTCCTCCATATAACATGTAGTTACGCATTGTAATCATCAAACTATAACAATGGAGAATAATTAGATTAGATTTAAGTGACTATATGTGAAAGTTTCCCATTAATAATATATACCGAACAAAAAAAATCACTTACCAATATTGCGACTGTATAATATTTTTTTAAAAATAATTCATTATTAATAACAAAAAATTGTTTATGTACCTAGATTATAGAGAATTGGAGAAAAATAAAAGGCCTAAGTCATCTCCAGCCACTCAAAGTTGTCCGCATAATTCATTTAGACACCTCAACTAATCCTTGTGCCAATTGAACACTTTATTTGTTCAAAAGTCATTTCTATTAGACACAAAATGCTGACATGGCAAAAAACGTGTAATTTACTTTCCTTGAGCTCGTTAATTTATTAAAAATAATATTTTTCTTTTTTTTCTCTTAATTTATACCCCTAAGTTAATTTTTTTTAAAAAATTAACAAAAAAGAAGAAGAACAGTTGTCTTCTTCTTCCCTATTTCTATCAACCCCCAACCCCAACCCCCATACCCATACACCAGTGGTCATCTTCTTCCCCCATCATTCTAATGATTTCAAAATTTTTAGTATCAGTGGTTATCTTCTTCTCCCACCATTCTAATGGTTTCAAAATTCTTAGCATTTTGTTTCATTTATAAATTTTTTGAAGAGATTCTTTTCTCCATCTTTCTCTACCTAAAAAAGGAGATGAAGTAAAAAGTTATAAGTAATAAAAAAGCTGATGAAAAAAAAATCGTCGGGTTAAAGATGGAACTGTACAGGGAGGGGAGGGTAGCCATTAATGGAGTTAGAGGAAATGTATGTTTTGTTCCAGTTGAAGGCAAGGAAGTTTAGGTTTTACTTTTTTTTTTTTCATTTTTTTTACTTTAAAATAATAATTATTTTTTTTACTTTATAATATAATGTTTAAATAATTTTTTGGATTAAAAAATAATACATATCATTATTTGATTGGTCAAATTGACATGTCAGCGCGAGTGTATTTCACACATCCTCTATGTTTTGTTTATTCTCAAAAAAATGTTCAAATGGTTCAAATTCAGAATGGTTGAAGTGTTCAATAGATAGTACGTCTAGTTAAAGTGTTTAAATGAATAATCGGGACAAGTTTAATTGACCGCATATGACCTTGACCAAAATAAAATTTAAAATACACACATGCTTAAATGGTACATACATACATATAATTAATGCATATGATATTAAAGTCAATAATACATTTGATGGAAAAGTTCTTTTTTTCTTTTGGTTAGTTGAGTCAATTGAGAAAAGGATAAGAACCATGTTCCAAAGTCTACAAGTTTGTTATTCAGAGCTTAGAAATTTGTTTTTCTAAAAAATACACAATTTCATTAAATATCTTATAAAATAAAATATACTATTCTCGTAAAAAAAAAACTTATAAAAATCATAAAAATCAATATATATATATATATATATATATATATATATATATATATATATATATAAAATATCAAAATTAAGGATACAAATAACTCCATCTGGATTATAAATATTGATCGATGTTATTACCTATAATTGGAGAATCAAATTGTTAAGTAAACTAAATTCACGATACAAACGAAAGAAATTAATTAAACCATTAATTAAACGTCATTTTTCGTTCTTAATTGAGATTACTTTTCTTCTTCAACTCTGTCACATCACCTATATTTTAATCGAAGTTCCTTAGAATTTTTTTTATCCATATATGTTAGCCCTAAAAAGTGAATTTTACCGTGTATAAATACAATTTTTTTAACCTAAATTTATATATAAACATCAAATACGGAGTGGAAAAAAAACTTCAAATGTGTTTAATGGAGAAAATATATTTTGACTTTTCAATATTTGTTTATCAAAATATTTTGGGTAAAATTTATATGCATCGGGTGTTTACACCAAGCCAATACATGCATGTTATATGTTTTTTAAATTTATAATTTATTTTACTTTGACAAAAAAAACTTCTAATATGTCTAGTATGGAGAAAATATATTTTGATTTTTCAATATTTGTTTGATCAAAATATTTTGGGTAAAACTTATATGCATCGGGTGTTTACATCAAGTCAATATATGCATGTTATATGTTTAAGTTTATAATTTATTTTACTTTATTAAATCAATTACTAATGCATTTTACGTTCACTTAGCATAAGCACCCTGTGCGAAGATACTTTATCTTTAACTCCAACTCACTTCCCATATTATCTGGACATATACAAATATGTTAACTCACGTATATTGAACATAAAAAAAACGTTAAATCCATCTATTTTTTTAAGAAGATATTTTTTTAAATAAATAATCATCTTTTATTAAAAAATATTTTAACTCAAATATGATATATCAAATTTTCGATATAAGTATCGAGATCGAGTGACAACTAACAATCACACTAGGCGCGTGAATTACTCACATCCTTCTCGCTAAGTAAAATGGTAGTTTTTTTTTTGTTTTTTTAGGTTATAAATATTACTCCTATTTCTTAGTCAATTTCAAGAAACAACAAGTCAACCCAGAAACCCAAGAAAATACGCAAAAACATTCACCAAATTTAATATTTTTTGTACAATATATTATATTACCCAAAAATCTAATTGACTGAATTCCAATTTGGAATGTTTTTTTTTCTTTTTTCTTTTTCTAATGTATATTTCTAGGCACAGAGAGAGAGGAGGTGAATGATTCAGTAAAACATCCTCATTCTTTACTAAAGAATCATCTTTGAAAAAGAAAAAAAAACATGTTTTTGATTCTGGGTCATTCTAGTTCGAATCTTTTTCTTGTAATTGTAGTGTTAACAGTTACTTGTTTTAGTTCTTGTTGGGTTTTGTATGGAGAACAAGTTCAAGGTGGGGATGGTTTGCATAAGAGTGCTACTCTTTCTAGCTTCATATATGCAACTACTGTGCTCAAACCTTAT